AATCGGTTCATGGTATACTACATAATAGAAATGTTTAGTTTTTTTTCTTTTCTCAAAAGTGATTACCATTTTATGAAATAAGATCAAAGATAATAAACTGCAAGAGTTGAGGATTCAACAATCTATAGTTGAGTTAAAACAGTCTATCCTTACACTGTATTTAACCACTGTATTTAATCACTTTATAAAAGTTTTAATTCCATCCATGATTAGGTGAAAAAAAAATACTTTAACAACCATGGGATGAATCTTATATAGAATAAATATACACGTGTCAAAATTTAACAAGTATTACCAATAGAAAATACTAACAAAAAAAAAGTATTCTTCCCCCATAAGTCATTTTGATTTATCGTAAATTTCATTTAATATGTTCTTCAAATTGAAAATAAAACTATAAAAATATATTTTCACATTTATTTTCCTCTTCAATTATTATAAAATATTTTAAAAATTTTATTTCAATTAGAAGAACATACTAAATAAAATTTAGACAAATCAAAATACTTTATAATAAAGACCGAAAGGAGTATAATACAAGATCATTTACCAAAATCTAGTAGCTTTGAACCCTAAGTTTAACTAGCTAGTTTAATTTGCGATGGATGTAACGTGAGGGAACAATTGTTTCTTTTTCCATGATGGGTAGCAGTTTCAGTTAGCGGGAAGTGACTAGCTGCCTATGAAGGTGATTATCTCTACTCCCTGTTTTATCATTTTTCTCCATAAATTGGTATGGGTTACGCCTTTTTCTTTGTTTAACTAGTTCAAAAACTAAAACATTTCTGTATTTGGGCCAGATACCGGACAAATATCCAGAGAAACTTGGGCTGAAACGATAAATTAGCTTTTAATATATGCAAACTCAAATCCACCAAATTAGCTTTACCAAGCAAAGTTGTGGTTGTCAATTTGTGGAAAAGTTTGTAATGAGCAAAGAAAACCATAATTTCTACCTCAGAAAAGTTTCTTTTCATGTTGTGTCTAATTTTGGCATATGGAAAAGACTTGTGATTAAAGTCAATTCATCAGAGATATGCACATACTTTGTGTACAATAAGATGAAACTATTCCAAAACTCTCTATAGTAGGCTTTCATTTGGTCTATTTGTTGTCTATTCGAGAAGGCCCGGGCGGTGAGTGTCCAGAAAATGACAAGAACATGCGTTTTAGAGTCATGAAAGGGGCGTGCATGTAAATTTTTGTACGATCAATGCACATGTTAATTCTTTATGGTGAGTACTATGTTTGTTTTGTTTTTTTAGTATGTATTTTTAATTATTTTTTTATTGAGAATATAAAAAGGTGTATTGAAAATGTAAAAAAGTATACTGGGATGGGATAGTTATTAATATTTTAATTTAAAAATACCATAAAAAAATAAAACAAACAAAGCTTATTATATATCACCTTGTATATGTTACTTTGGCGCATGATTCTTTCGTACTCTGATTTGAAGAGCCTGACTGCTTATACTAAAAGTGAAAATTTAAACTGAATAAAAATTTTCGAACGGAAAAAATATTATAATAAGTCACTCTCACATTATATCATGTATATAAATCAGTTTAACATTAAACTATTACAGTGGTAACATTAGGGCGTAGACCCGCTTAATTATCTCCAGTCCTATCAAAGAATGTGCTATGCATGAGAGCTTTGACGAGGTCGAATGCTTATGCCTTCTAGGAAAACAATCTTTGGAAGGATGAGAAATGTATACTGTCCACAAATTCGAGCACCAAAGAAAAATACATTCTCCTTGTCTCTGTGCATAAAAATTTTCTCTTTTAATTACACAACATTTCTTCGTCTTAAAATACGAGTTTTATTTTTATAAATTTTAGTTCAAATTATAAACATAATTTTTTTTTTCAGGGGAAGGAATTACATGCTATTACCTAGCACATGACCAATAAACACTAGAGATACATGAATTACAGAATTAGAGAAAAAACTCAGGGAGAAGGAAAATTTCGTCAACTGGACCGGTTCAAATTTCTAACTCATGTCCTTTCATCATTTTTATGAAAGCCTCTGAATCACGTGGTTAAGACTTACTCCTTCCGTCCTAAAATAAGTGTCGTTTTAGCAAAATAGAAAAATTTCAAAATAAGTGTCGTTCTCACATTTCAATGCACTTTTTGTTCAAAATTTGAAAAATTACCCTCAAAAGAATTAATACTATTGGTGGATATTTTTTTAATGGGGTTGGTTGAGGATATTCAAGTAATTTTATTACCATATTTAAGAGTTTCTTAAACTATGTGCAACGTGTAAGATGACACTTATTTTGGAATAGAGGGAATAATTAATTGGTTCGGAAATGTTATAAATTTAAAGAATAAAATTGTTTCTCTCTTGAATTGTGGCCAAAAAGGTGGAAGGGAAAAGAAAAATGGAAGAAAGAAGCATATTCACCTGGATTCTCGTTAACACGTTTTTATTCAGCCCCATGAATATATAAAAAGAGAAAAAAAAAATACGTAACTTGTTTGTTTTCATGGAAAGGAAAAAAAAAAAAAAAAAGGAAAACTACGTGACTTGTAAATATTGGTTGTCTTTTGTCACCTTTCTAACAAATAAGAGTGCCAAAAAACATGTTTCCCGTCCCTGAATAACAAGTAATAATTCGTTACACCTTTAAAAGAAGGGTCGTGCTGTTGAGCGCCCTAATTTTTTCATTTGAACGCCCGAAAAAGACATACATGCCCCTCGGATTTGATGTTTGGCGAGGGAGAAATGAGCCACCCCTTTAAGGGGTGGCGAGAAAATCTTCGCCATGCGGCGAAGGTGTGGCGCCCTTCTGGGCGCCACATTGGTGCTGGTTGGCGAGCTTTTTGCTCGCCAACCAAAGGGTGGGTGGCGCCATTTTGTGCGCCACCCACCTTAATTACTTTTTTTTTTTTTTATATAATTTTTTTATTTTTATTTTATTTATTTAATTATCTTTAATTTAATTATTTTTAATGTATTTAATTAATTTCTTTTATTTATTTTAATTATTAGCTTAATGAATTTATTTAATTCATGTATTTATTTAATTCATGTATGTTCTTAATTTATTTATTTATTAAAGTTTATTTATTTGTTTGGTGGTTAAACAAATAATTTTAACTTAAATATTTAGAGAATGTTGCTTAATTATGTAGTAAATTTTAATAAAAATTTATCATTTAGTTATGTAAAAATTTTTAAACTTAAACAAAAAATTATTATTTAATAAAAACTAAAATTTATGAATTTACTACCAAACAAATTAATTATTCATCATCGGTGCATCTAGTCAGTCCCGGGAATATTTTTTGGAAAAAATATAAAATTTAAAATACGTTGAAACGAAAAATTAAAAAGATTGAAAAAATATAAAATAATTTTATTTATTTTTTAATATTTTTTAACTGCCAAATAGATAAATAAAAAATAAACTTAAATAAATAAATAAATAAAATAATTAATTAATTAAATAAATTAAAAAAAGAAAAAAAAAAGTAAATTCGGTTTGGCGAGCAAAACGCTCGCCAAACCGAAGGGGGTGGCGACAGATTTTTGCGCCACCCCCATTTTGGGGGTAAAGTTTCCTCTCGCCTCCCTTAATTGGGAGGCGAGAAAATTGTGCGCCACCCTTTAAAGGGTGGCGCATTTCTTCTGCGCCAGCCGTGAAAGGCTGGCGCAGTACTCCATCGCCTATACCCTTTTTTTTAAAAAAAAATATGAATTCAAGGGTAAAATAGTCTTTTTGAGATTTTTTAGGGCGTTCAAATGAAAAAATTAGGGCGTTTAGTAGCCTCCCAGTAAAAGAATTGTGAACCTCAAGCTTCAAAATACCCGTTTTGGAACCCATTATTTATTAGTCGTTCACGTAACACTTACCTTTCTTTCGAGACAGCCCTTTTGACTTTTGGGGAAAACAAGAAAAAGCAAAAAAGCCTGCAAGTTTTTTGTTTCTTGATCTTGAATTTATCTGTACTTTATGTTGGAAAGAAACTAATCCTGGAGTTCATAATCTTTTTCACAACAAAAATGGTTGCGCTAACGTCAGATAATCATCCATCTTATCTTTATACCCCAAAAAAAAAAAAAAACCACTAATTAAACAGTGTGCTAACAAATCATAAACCTATAATTACACCCCCAATATTTTAAAGGAGGAAAGAAAACCAATTTAATTTGAAACGTTGGAATAAACAAATTAATCACCACTCTAATCTTTATCATCTTAGACTGTTTCTTTTATAGTCTTTTTATTCTTATTTTTTTTATAAAAAAAAAAAACAAAGTTTTTAACTTTTTATATGGTTTGGGTTATTGAGTATGACACTAGCTATGACGGCACGTATATTGTATCATATTGGGCAAGTGATTAATAAAATCATCATTAAAACAAATTGTAAAAAAAAAAAGAAAAAAAGAAAGAAAGGCGAAATGACTCATACAAGCAATTATTTTCAATATTTTAATTTATAATTGTCACCATCACTTTGAATGGCCAAAAAATTTGCGTGTTGGCTTTAGCAATTCATGACCAAAGGTCTTAACAAACATAAATGGATAAAATATATAACCAACTTGAATTCGCCAGGTCAAATTGATCCAAACACGTAGGCATGATACATTTCAACACCCATCCAAATTAATATTAGGAGGATGGAGACACATCTTTTATTGAATTATAACATTAGACTTGTGGGAAGATTTACATTTTTTTTATATAAAATTAACAACGTACTTATGCTTCAACCCTTAAATGCTGATACTTTTCGATAAATTTAAAAATTCTTGTAAGTACATCCAAATTATTCGTAAAATAAAAATAAGAGACTTGATTATTTTACGAGAGATTATCATGGTTCAACCTGTATACAAATAGTTAGAAAAAATCAAAAAAAAAAAAGAAAAAAGAGAGAGTAGAAGTATGACATTCTTGAGTCATATTAATTAGTACAAGTATTCAAAGTGGTACCAAAAACACAAACCAACCAAAAATAATGCACAAATTATTCACGTGTATAACCTAACCTAATAATTCAATAATCATTTTCTTGTGCATTGCGAGATAGGAAACTTCCAAGTTCCAATGTTGTACAGTCATTTCTAGTCAAAGTGGCCGGCTTTCCTTCCGTATCACATTAATTCCCCTATCCAGGCAAACCAATATATAAAAGGCAGCGAAGTGTTTCTGCATGATTCCATAACTCATAATAATTACTTTCTCTCAACATCTCAAACTCAACCCAAAAAGAAAACACTTTCTTTTGTGATCAACAAACGTTATTTTTTTCATTGAGTTTCTGGGCACAACCGTTGACTCTTTATTTTATGATGGAAGCGATTTTGGATAACTTCGGCGGCATCTTGTTCAAAGTGGGATTGTTCGTTCTTGTTCAAGCCCTTGTTTATCTGATTCTGTCTCAATCTTCCTCGGTCTTCTCCAAGACACAAAGGTCTTTCAGTTTCAAGCCAGCTCGGTCGATCAGCATTCGCCGGATGGCGGCGGCTCTGGCGGACATGCCGGCCGGAGGAGAACCGTCTCCGACGACCGAATCACCCGGAAGATATTTCGCCAGAGAGAAGTCAACTCTTCAGCGGTTTGAATCATTCAATTGATTAAATATGCTTGTTTTGTACGAAACCAACAGCTGTACATAGATGGATTGTTTGATTAGCCGATTGTGTGTATTAGTTTACTTCTTTTTTTTTCCCCCTTTTCTTTTTTCTTTTTAAAGATTGGTGATTGAATTTGTTTGTTGGATTCAATATTTCGGGAATTCAACTGTTCTCTACAAATAATTGATTTATACAAATCATATTTGATTTTCATCAGGGTTGATTTTGTGGATTGATCATGTTTTCTTTTAATAACACACATAGAAAATTCTTCCATCTACACTCTACAGCTCAAGATTTATTTATTTTGATAGAAAAAAAATAGACTAGTAAAGAATCTAACTCTGACAAGGTTACAGTACAATGTTATCAGTGTAGTGCATCTATAGATTTTCGCCTCATTCTATGTGTAAAAATAAATTTAAAAAAAAAAAAAAACTATGAAGTCTGAACAACTTTGACGGTCATAGAAGTGGTCACTCCTAAATTTTGTTATAGTCAGTGATTAAAAATATTGTACAATGTTGTAGGTGATAGATAGTACGTAGTTGATATGAACACCATAAACTGGGAAGTTGTTAAGCGCCCTAATTTTTTCTTTTGAGCGCCTTAAAAAATTATATTTTGATCATTTTACCTTTATTATTATTACTTTTTTAAAAAAAATTGTGACAAAGGCATTTGCGCCAGCCGTTCATGACTGGCGCAGGAGAAAGGCGCCACCCTTTAAACAAAGGGAGGCGAGAAAATTTTGCTGTCCAAAATGGGGGTGGGGCACAAATCTGGCGCCACCCCCTAAACGCTCGCCAAACCGAAATTATTTTTTTCAAATTTTTTTTTCTATTTTTTAATTATTAATTTATTTAATTCATTTATTTATTTAAGTTTATTTTTTATTTATCTATTTGGCGGTTAAACAAATAATTTTAACTTAAATATTTGACTTTGTAATAGTATAAATTAAATTACAACGAGGCACGGTCTAGAGGTAAGACATCTCACCTTTGACCAATAAGTCACGGGTTTGAGTTACATAGGGGGTAAATGGAGAACTTTTATTAATGCTCTTTTAAAAAAGAAGAAAAAATATTAAAAATTAAAGAAATAAATAAAATTATTTTATATTTTTTCCATGCTTTCTAATTTTTCGTTTCAACGTATTTTATATTTTATATTTTTTTCCAAAAAAAATTTTCCAGGATGGCTAGATGCACGGATGATAAATAATTAATTTGTTTGGTAGTAAATTCATAAGTTTTATTTTTTATTAAATGATAATTTTTTGTTTACATTTAAAAAATTTTACATAACTAAATGATAAATTTTTATAAAAATTTATTACGTAATTAAAGAACATTCTCCAAATATTTAAATTAAAATTATTTGTTTAACCACCAAACAAATAAATAAAAAAATAAACTTTAATAAATAAATAAATTAAATAAATACATGAATTAAATAAATTAAATAAATACATGAATTAAATAAATTAAATAAATACATGAATTAAATAAATTCATTAAACTAATAATTAAAAAATAAATAAAAGAAATTAATCAAATACATTAAAAAATAATCAAATTAAAAATAATTAAATAAATAAATTAAAAATTAAAAAATTAAAAAAAAAAGTAATTAAGGTGGGTGGCGCACAAAATGGCGCCACCCACCCTTTGGTGCTGCTCGCCAACCAGCACAAATGTGGCGCTCTTCTGGGCGCCACACCTTCGGCATGCGACGAAGGTTTTCTCGCCTCCCTTTAGAGGGAGGCGAGATTATTTAACGCCACCCCTTAAAGGGGTAGCTTCTTCCTCCCTCGCCTTACCTTTTTTTTTGAAAAAAAAAAACAATGTAACTTCATTTTGTAGGAGTGTATACGTCTTTTTCAGGGCATTTAAATAAAAAAATTAGGGCGCTCAACAGCATGACCCAAGGCAAAAGCGAAGGGCACTACTATGCATTTGTTTTGAAAATTTTTTTTTAATGATTTTAATTAAAGCGTACCCTTCTTTTTTAGTCATGAACTAAAAACGCACAACTACGATTTAGTTTTTGTTTTGGCCATTACAAAGCCTTTTTTTCTTTTTTCTTTTTTTTTGATAAACAACCATTACAAAGCCTTAAAAGCCGTAAAGTTGCGTATCTAATGTACTTACTGTTAGAAAAAAAATGTATTGGAAGCTGTTTGTGATGGTAATAAGAATTCAAGAAATAGGAAAGAAATTCTGAGGCATGTGAATATATGTTCTCCTTAAAACAGATTCGCTCCCTCTCACAGAGTGCTTGAGGATAAATGAGCGTCCGTCTCCCAGGATACAATCGATAACATGATCTAGTCTTGCATTTAGACTAAATCATCGGCGACTGAACTAAAACTTTGATGAACACCAAGAAAAGTAGGAGGATTTTGGCAAAAAAGAATAGCACTTATAGGTATAAAGAAAGGTTACAAAACCGCTGAATTTATTTGTCAAATTAAACTAATTAATTACAACAAATTTAATCCACATTAAGAGTCATAAAGGTGGGCAACTTATTATTCTCATTATTTACCGATTCTGTAAAAAAAAAAAAAAAACTGATGAGAATAATGACCTTTTTAATGACGGTCATAACCTCTCCAATAATGGCATTAGAAGTTCCTAACCGATTGTAAGACACGGGTTGATCAGGTCCGTGAATTACAGTCTGGCATTCGTGTGCTTAGGTTGCACCTACACACGAGTCAAGCAACAACTAGCTTATACTCTATTTCCAATTATATGAGAATCACATTTCTCATTCACACCTATAAATAACTATATTTCTAACAATCCCCACATAAATGAAAATTGTTTCTGGCAAGGTATTGATGTTCATCAACGGGTCCCAGCAAAGAGAAAGTAGGTGTTACCCTTTGAACTTCCCCCTTGTAATGTATGTCTGCTTAACAAGCTGTCTAGTAGACGCGATGTCCTTGAGCTGTCCGGCTGTATTGTGTAAAGAAACCAACATACAATACACAGGAACTATTTCTTTTTAGTTCCGTTCTCATGATTTTGTTCATTTTGGCTATGAACACGTCCTGATTCTACGAGAGTTTCTAAAGAATTGAGCCTGACCAATTCTCCTTTGAAGCGGCCCCACTTCTCTCATACATAGGTCACTTCATAAGTCTAGAGTAAATGATATTACTCACTTAAGAGTCATTAAAGCAACAGTTTGCTATCCTTATCCGTTATATCATTGTTTCATGACAGAAATGAACTGAGGTTACCCCACAGTGATCACACTAAGTCTTAAGATTAGGTTGTCCCATTGAACCTAGATCTTGGGATCTCCAGTCAACTAAGTTGGGTTTTCGTTTAAAAGACTTTTGTACTTTATCGGCTGTCTCATTTCTTTTGTCATTTTCTCAAATATCTCTTTGTTTAATCCTCAGGTTACCGGATCCGTAGTTTTATCTATCGACTTCACGTAGTCAATCGAGATAACTATAGTTGAGAATAATTGCATAATGATAGTATATCTATAACAAGATAATGTCGAGAGTTACCATTATACAATTGACAACGTGTCATTCCACATCTCTAATTAATAGATCAGTGGCACAATCATCCCCATTTTAAAATGTTATTCAAAACCAGTGACACCATTTAGCTTTTGTCTCACAACTATCCGATACACAATTCGGATTTCATTGTGAATCTGGCTATCACAATCTAGTTTTAGGAATTTTCAAGACACGTATATCCAGGCTAGCATTCACAGCCATATCCATAGCCACTAGTGCATTTTTGAGTCATCAGCATCCAATATCCAGTTTGTATCTGTGTAGCATTCTAACACAATTGGATATCTACTATGATATAACTCAACACAAGCATATCATCAGTACCTCAATACTTCAACAACAACATTCAAATGCACTTCACTTTTATTACTTGCGTGTGCATTTCACCAGCTTACTTCATAAGCATTTATCTGATCTACTGCAACTCATTGGATGCATTAGTCTCTCGATTATCCATGAGTATTCTATTTAAATAATACTCTTTCCAAGGAACTAGGATAAATGAAGAATATCATTTAATGTTGCTCTAGCAACTCTAGAATCATTCTCATTCAAACTCTGCAAGAGTTTTGTCTATGAGTCTGACTCGGAATAAGACTATCAGTTCTTTGTATGATTTTAACCTTTTAAAATCATATCAACAAGTCCCATCTGTCGAATTTCCAGTTTCACATGTTAACGGACTTGTCGAACTTTTTATCGCTACCGACAATTAAGTATATCTTTCTTAGATAGACATAAAATGTCTTAGATTTCACATGTATTTTTGGCATAGACATACTATTTGATTTCTATTGGTAATCTTTGAACATGTTCCAAGCGTACTTAGACTTTACCAATTTTTATTATTGGTACTTGGAGCTTGAAACCCTCGGGTTGCTCCAATCCCGTTGAAGGGAATCCTTTCAATCTCACCACAAGAGAATACACTTTAAGCAATCTAAACAAAATTATTGTTTATTTACTTTCATTATTTATGTGAAGTAAACTTACTTCCATGTATGATTCTTCAGAATAGAATCGACATTCTTTATGACTTCTCCATAAAAATTCTCCACAAGAACAAATATAAGTTCGTGATTCATTTCCCAATAAATAGGATTAAAATCATCTCTAAATGATTTTCATTTGGCTCTTGGCCACATCTTAGCTCTTCAACTTGAACCATTTTCTTTCCAAAAGAATTACATATTCTTTTTATCGCATCATATATAGTGTTCTTTTGTGAATTTGACAAATTCAAAAATTACACAAGGAACCACTACATGGTACTGTAATGTACTCAAGACCTATAAAACATAATCCAACTTTATAGGATTTATCTGTATTGCCTTTAATGCAAGTATCAACACCAAGATACTTTTACACTCACAAGTGTTTGATTGCATTACTTATATAAGACCCCCACACTCCCAAGTGTTTGTAGGGTGGTCGCAATTTCTTTCACGATACTTTAATAAGATAATCACTTGACAAGAAACTTCCCCCATATTTGGGTGATAATACCCGAAATAGAGAATCAAATTCATCATTTAATCAACTTGTGACATTTCAGTCCGCAATCTGATTGGATTCATGTAAGTACATGGTAGTCACTTCATAGACAATTCTATGATGTGCAAAGAAGTCACCTATTGGTACCTTTCTCACCTATTGTACCACTTTTCCAATTCTATTATCGTTTTATTTTATTGGTTCTCAAACTTAGTCTAGTAGAGAACAGATTCTCTTTGTAGACTATATTTTCATAGAGAACAAATATCTAAGAGTTCAATATCTAAATAAAAGACATATATATCAACGGGGATACATCATATTTATCCCTTTCCACGTATGGAACAATCAATTTGTCAATTTTCCACAAAATAAAATGGACAAAAGAATCAATATTCTCTCCACAAATGTTGAATAATGTTACTACATTCTTTCACGTACAACGAAGACTTTGCAGTAATTTTAAACATCATGCTCCTATTATTGCATTCAAACATTTGATCAATTGATGCTATACTATTTTCCGAAGTACTTGCAACAAAGGCTCATAAGAAATATTCATGAACCGCAATAGGGCCATTCTAGTCTCATGAATATTCCAGCATTGTTTGTCACAAGCAATTCTTTTAACAATATGCACGTCATTAAATTACATTATGACGCCTTAGTTAATATTTTAAATCCATATTGCTAGTTATTTATAGTCACCTCATAAAACCTAGGACATGAAATATTCAATCCATTTCACAAGTAATGTTTAATCCATTAAGGCCCCTTTTTGATCGTCCATTCAACTTGGCAAATTGTAACTCTCAATTAATTGATAACAATAAAATACCAATGAGTCAGTGACACATATTAATGCCAAACAATTGCATATAAATGTCGTTACTAAGGCATCACTATCATTTATCAATATACAAATCAAAAGTGCAAAATAAACTATTACTCATATTGTGAAAATATTTCTTTTCCATTTTGATGGACTCAATGAGGACCATTACATGGAACCACGTAAGATATATATCTTCTCTTCTCAAATACAAATAATATAATAACATTCGATTATTCAAAATGAATTATTATATTATGCCATCAGATAACCAAAGTATAGGCAAAATGAATAATTTAATATAATCAATCGAACACCAAACTATTTCTCATTTAGTGTCATTTTTCTCATGTTAAAAATGAGCACATTTTTTTTCATTAAAATGCTACAGACAATTCATGTACTGCTAATTAGACGTGAACAGTCTAAATCAAGCAATTACAAGTATGCTTGAAAGGTGACCATGGCATGTAAGTGCTATTCCAAATTAAAAGGTTTAAATAAAATAGAAACACCATAACTGACCATGAAGGAAACATCTTCAAGTTCATTTTAGTTTTAATTTTTCCATTATTAACTCATCATGGCAATCAACCAGTTAAATGCCCCACTGGATCTATTTAACTATCATTACAATTAAAATTCAATACTTATTTGTATTACTATGCATTTCTCATATAGTTGCATGTTTGGTTTTACAAAATGACTCAATTAAGTACTACATCATTGCAGATCATTAATAGAATAATAACATATGGAATCCCCCAAAAAAAAAAAAACATTATGCATTTAGTTTGGATTTCCAGATTGTCATCATCTTATAAATTCCGTTGTTGAAAGTTTGAAAATTATCATTTTTAAATTCAAAACACAATTCCATGTTCCTTTAAAAATACATAAGTGAATTTCAAATTCATTCGCCATATGCAAATCACCAGTATTGACTTTCAAATTATTTTATAGGAAACAAATCAATAGTCAATGTTCGCTTACGTCAATTAGTGTCAAGAAATGGATAAGTCCATTCACCACTCATGCTTGTAAAGCATCATTCCTGATAGAATCATCAATTATTTTTAAAACAAAAAATATTCATGCCCATGTTTCGTCAGCTTAAACGTTGATTGACATAACAGTCTACGAAAGCCAATTTTCCTCCCAGCTTCACTTTGTCGATCTGTGCGCCGGATTGAGTGTCGTTGATAAGATTCTCGACGAGAGTCTAATATCTTCAATTTTCCATCTTTTCTCGCTGATCTAGTTTTAATCGGCTCCCAAAGATTCACATTCTCCCCGGACTTTCATTTAGTCCAAGTATGAATTTCCATTGGCATCACAAATAAGATCTCGAGTCTGTTTTAAGATTGTTAGAAAAAATGTATTGGAAGTTGTTTGCGATGGCAACAAGAATTCAAGAAATAGGAAAGAAATTCCGAGGCACGTGAATACATGTTCTCCTTAAAATAGATTCGCTCCCTCTCACAGAGTACTTGAGGATGAATGAGCGTCCGTCTCCCAGGATACAATGGATAACATGATCTAGTCTTGCACTTAGACTAAATCATCGGCGAACTGAACTAAGACTTTGATGAACACCAAGGAAGGTAGGAGGATTTTCGCAAAAAAGAATGAAGAAATTTGGGTTAATTTTCTTGGTCTAAGAATTCTTGGATATTTTATAGCACTTATAGGTATAAAGAAAGGTTACAAAATTGCTAGATTTATTTGTCAAATTAAACTAATTAATTACAACAAATTTAATCCACATTAAAAGTCATAAAGGCGGTCAACTTATTATTCTCGTTATTTACAAATTCATGTAAAAAAAAAAATTGATGAGAATAATGACCCTTTTAATAACGGTCATAACCTCTCCAATAATGGCATTGGAAGTTTTTAACCGATTGTAAGATACGGATTGATCAGGTCCGCGAATGACAGTCCTGCATTTGTGTGCGTAGGTTGCACCTAGACACGAGTCAAGTAACAACTAAGTTATACTCTATTTCCTACGAGAAACATATTTCTCATTCACATCTATAAATAACTATATTTCCAACACTTATCACACATTCTAAAAGGAAAAAGGAAAAAGTGAAAAATAGTGGAGTGCCATGTCATGCTCTTCATAATTCAGATAGAAACAAAACCAAAACGTGTTCTTATCAAACATAAAAAAATGAAAATTATAAATAGTTAGTTTTTAAAAACCCGTATAGAGAACATAGTGGGCAATTATATATGTTCGTTAAAAATAAGTTGCATTTAGGCCACTTTATTAAATTTCTTACTCCATTTCGTCTCGAAATTCTTCAGTTTAGACTTGAATTTTCATTTTAATATAATTTGTACTTCTTCCGTCTCAAAAAAAATCTACATTAACTCTTCAAATTTGTACTAAAAATAGTACAAAATTCAAAACTCAAAGTGGACTTATTTTTTTTAGGACAGAGGTAGTATTAAAACTAATTCAAATTAAGTAATTATTTTGGGACAGAATAAGAATGATTACACCTAATCTTGTGGACGCAAAAGGCTATTGCAATTAGTGAAATGTGTACTCAAGAGAGTCTGATAAAGAATCAGTACTAATGTGTTGAAGCTCAGCTACAAACTAAACCAATAAATTCTAAATTCATCAGAATTATGTTTTTATTTATCCGTCCTTAACAATATTTTTCAGACGGAGTAACTCACTCTATCTAAACCAACTTAATTTTCCCCTGAACATTAAATCCGACACGATTCCTTTACCAGCCTCACGTTTACACCACAATTCCAAATTAGTCACACGCCCATTGTACAATTTTCAAACTCAAAATATCTAAGTTGATGAGTCAACTTGGTGCGTTGCGCACATACTTTAAACCTAAAAAGACCGCAAATCAATTCTAACCAAGTCTCCAGAGTTCAATATCAAGTTTAGAGAGTTCAACATAAGTTAGAATAAAATTCCAACCTAAAACATTATGAGTCTATATTGAACTTTTCCTCCAAGTTGGTTACTTCTGGCGCTTTGGAATTTCCTTAATCAATGAGTACAATCCATATTATCATAAATCGAGCCCAATCACTTGTAACCGAGTTCAATTCTTTTAAGAGAATAGATTCATAGAATCTAATGTAGTGATCAATAAATAAGTTGGACTGCAGATTAAATTAATATATTTGACGTGCACCTTGTTTATTGATTCAGTGCTCTGCATTCTTCTTTAACAATGCTTGATTTAATTTACTTCTATTGTTGACATGTAAATGTGAAAGAAAGTATTGAAACTTATTTTTAAAAATATCAATTCACATAGGATAAGATCTCTTAATGCCAGATTAAAAAATGAGAAACGCAAAATTAATCAGACAGTGAAAACAGGAAAACATCAAATTAAATTAACAAAAAGGATTAAAAAAGCAAAAAAAAAAAATTCGCGTCGCCTGAGAGATTCGAACTCTCGCGGGGAAACCCCATGTACTTAGCAGGCACACGCCTTAACCACTCGGCCAAAGCGACTCGAATTGTTCATGTGATGGAAGTAATCATTTTTTACCTATTTTTAACAAGAAAACGCCCCAGTCCAATAAGCCTTTGCTCAAAATGAATCCGTCCAGTCCACTATCCCAACTAAAATTCAATAATTTTCCCCGGAGCTCACTTCAAAACAAAACATGTCATTATCCCGACCCACCACCGCCACCGCCACCACTGATACCGACAATTCCTCCGCCGCCGTCCACCACGTCACTTACTGGTGCCATGAATGTGACATGAGCGTCCTCCTTCCCCGCCCTCTCTCCTCCACTTCTCCTCCCCTATGCCCTCACTGCCGCCATGACTTCCTCGAACAGATGGACTCTTTCCCACCACCTCCCAACCCCACCGCCTCCGCCAATCACTCCGCCGCCGTGTTCCAATCCATGTCCCCGATGGACTCCGACAACCCCTTTCCCTTCCCCTCTGCCTCTCCGGCCGACGACACCTTTCTTCTCGACAGCCCGTATTTCCATCGCCTTGTCAACAACCTCATGACGGCTGACACCCCCGTCAGCCACCACAACCACCCGATTAACCCACCTCAGTATAATTCTCCGGCTTCGAAATCAGCCATTGAATCCCTTCATCATGTTGTCGTGGACTCTGCATTCCTCGAGAAAGATCCCACCGTTGTTTGCCCTGTTTGTAAGGATCAATTCTTGATTAACTCCGAGGCGAAACTATTGCCTTGCAACCATGCTTATCACGCCGATTGCATTATCCCGTGGCTGCAGATTAATTGCTCGTGCCCGGTTTGTAGGCATAGGTTGCCAACTGAGAATGAAGCAAGAAAACATGAGGTTCATGGTGGGGAAAGGTTTATTGGGGCGGCGAGGTTGGATGAGTTGTTGGATGAAGAGCAAGATTTGTTTGGATTCACCAGCATTTTGAGAAACGTAGTGAGGAGGCAACAGCAGAGTAATCGCGATAACGAAATGCACCTTAGGAATGTAGAGAACTGGAATAGGCGTGTTGTGTGGGATAATGATATTTTGTTTTCGCCTACACAGATTGGGGAGGCTGAAAGTGGTGGCGGCAGTGGTAGGAGAGGGGATCATGTGGAGAGGGCTAATAGCGTGGAGACCGTGACAAGTTGGCCGATGTGGCCAGTGGAAGGTGGTGCCAGTGGGAGTGGAAGTGGAGATGGGGATGTTGCCGTTGGTGTGAGCAGTGGAAGAGGGATTAGTGAAGGGGATGCCGTGATGTCTTGATGTTTATGGAGTGTTAAGATTGTCCATTCGGGGTAGACATATAAGGTAAATGGAATTACTTCCTTTGTTTTGTAATCATTTCCGTTAATTTGTTGCCTGTAATGTGATTAATTGTTCGGTACTAGGATATTTGTTAGTTATACATTTTTATGTTTGGCTTTTGCAACTTTCGATATTTGCGTGAAGTAGCTTGTTTTTTTATCCTTATATCTGATAGACATACTATTAAGCTTAACCATTGCCTCCTTTCTTGTGTCAAATTTGTTAGTTTTGCATGTTGATGGATTTATGAAAAGTTTTTATGTCTTATGGTTTTGCTATCTGATTTGGTGGATATTTTATCTTAAACCTAGGAACTACAAGTTCATGAAAGTATATTTTACAAAGTTATCTGCCTTCAACTTCAGTGTTAGTACATTTGTGAAGTCCACAATCTTGAAAAACAATCCTACCCATGATTGTGCGTTATGGTTAGTAATTTAGATTCAGTATATTATTAGAGCCCCTGCTATGGACTGATTATGTTCAGAGATAAACAAACTGCAGCTCTTATATGATCTTGTAATGAGTCGATACTCGTTACTACAATGTCATCTGGTTTAAGGCTTTCGTTGAGCTTTCTATTAACTTTTCAGCTTCTTTAGTCTTTGCATGTCATAAATTTCGACCCTTAATTTCTTTAAATTTTGTCGATGGCTCTTCTTTGAATTAGGATTTGTCCACTGAGAACTTCCTTGAACAAAATCATTTCTTTGCATTTTCTTGGTGATTACTGATTAGGATGGATACAACCACACCTATTTTTTGCTTCTTGAAAGGAAACATGTCTGTTCTCTTGCCTTCTCCTGTTTGACAGCATCAACAAGTTATCTAAGTCCAAGTTTAGGGAGTCTAAAGCAGAGCATTGCTTGTAATGCAATGATTATTTTGCTGCCTTGCATGTCCTTTTGTTTCAGCAATTTGACACATATGTTAATATTGCATTCATTCTGTGACGGATGTTTGGCCTAGTAATTACAGCATGACAATGTTGATTGTATTTGTTCTTATGTCAGTTACCACCAAATTTCTCATTTCTACCTAGTAGTTCTAATGCTAGGCTTTTGTTGCACACAAGATGTAATCATTCCATGGTCTAACTAAGACTCATTCATGAATAAATCGTCCAATTCATCAATTTAATCTACAGATTTTTCTTGAATATTATCCTTGTTCTCCTTCTCCTACCACCAGAATGTTAACCTGAGTTGTAATATCCATCAATTTGTATTGGTTCTGTTGCAAGGAAGAGGCTTGAGTGGGGGAATACACTTGTGGTTATTATGAGAAACACGTATAAATTTGGACGTTCTTGCGCATAGTAATAATTAGACATCTATCCTGAAGTCCTTTACTTTGAGAAGTCTTTTGTAGAAGCACCTCTGATGCTTATGTGATGTTCATATAGGCTTCATAATCAATTTACAGACTTTGCTTAAGAGCCATGCGTGCATATTGTGTTAATTTGAAAAAGAAATGTAGAGGCACGTTTTATTTCATCCATTGGCAAGTTTCTCAACATAGATGACCGAAAGAAATTTAAGCTTAATTTCGTTGAATTTGCTATTCTGATGGGTAGTTGTTGGGATGAATGAAGAGGCAAGCACAGGGTGCTTCTTCTGTTTCTCCTCGTTCATTTTCCATATCCTCTGGGACTTCTAGATTTTTTTTTTCTAGCCTTAATCTCTGATGCTGCTTCCTGGCCTAGATGCATACTCTGCATTTTAGTGAAGTGAGACATCGAAACGTGGGTGTTCTGATTGAAAATCTCAGACCATTCACTTGTCACTTCTCATGTTGTTGTGGCTTGAAATCTGCATTTTGTACGTGGTACAGGTGTCACACATGTGCGATAAGATATTTATTCAAATATGTTCTTTTCATGTCATGTGCATTCTGCCTCTGGTTTAAAATATCTGTCGTATGCATGCAATGTGTGATGTTTGTCTCCTTAGTATATTCACGTTTCGGAATATTCCAATCATGCCCATTGCTTGATTACCTGTGGTTTTTCTGTGCAGATGATCTGTATAGACTTTAGATACTTCATACTTGCAAAAACAAAATGAAGGTATAAAAGCTAATAAAGTGCCGGCTAAATTATGCGGCAACATTGGGTTTGATGATCGATCTCAATCTATTTGCTGAAGTGAGGAAGCTCCCTTCCAGTTCCTTCTTTTTCCCACCTACTATAGAGAAGGCTTATGTAAACAGTCATTCTAGAAGAAATAAACTTGTATGGATGAGTTAGCCCTTGAAATTTATTGTTTCAGCTCCTTTTTTTTTTTTTTTCTTTTGTGGACAAGATAAAATCGGCTATAGTGTTTAGAGGTTGGAAAGTCATAACGACTCCAGAAAATACAGTAGAAATTGTAAATTCCGATTGATATGAAGTTATCTCTCGGCTTTGATTCATAGTTTCCTGTGTTCTGGTTTCTACGATCTTTACCAGTTTTTTTTATATCCTTCTGCTGCATTTTGCGTCTACTGGCTGTAACTGGAGGCCAGAATGTAGTTCTACAATACATGAGAAATCTTTTTTTGTTTTTTTTAATATGGAAAAGGTGATAAAAAATTGCTGCTGAAAGAATGGCTAATGTATATATGACTTTTATCTTTTATTTTATCAAAAAAAGAACGTGAGCTGTTAAGTTTTCACATTGCTTCTGTCGCATCATAAAACAAAACTATAGTACTAGATTTTTATATTATTCTTTTTGTCTCATAAAATAGCTTACATGATTATACTTAAATTTCTCTGTTTTAAAATGATTATTCAGTTTGAATTTTCACTTGAAGTATAATTTGTATTGGAAGAAAAAAAACAATAATTTGGGGGAGATAAATTTTTGAAGAGTGCAAAATTTAACGTGTGTAGTTGGACGCTACTTTTCGTGTTTCTTTTATCCTTTTCGTGCAGCAACAGGCAGCATCTAACATTCTAACCAGGGCACTGAAATACTGAATGGAGTAGCATTGCCATTTTGTTTCTTTTAAGGAAAGGTTGTTGGTTTCTTACAATCTTATCTGATTCCTACCTGCTGACATCTTTCACTTTTACGGTAATCAACTAAGCAAAAGGTTGGTGGGTCTCTTTTTTTTTTTTTGTGAGCAATCTAGTAAGAGGTGTCAATTCTGGAACAAAAATATAAATATTAGTCATGGACAGGGAGCCTTACATATGGTTATGACATACTTTCCGCCGAAATCATAGACTAATTGTGAAAAAATGTCATCGAAAAAATCCGCCTCGATTGACGTACTACCTCTTATATAGAACTAACAAGCCAGATTCACCGAAGCGGTGAAGGTGGTTTCAAGTAATACGGAAGCGGTTGGAATCCATAAAAATTTGCTAAAAGCAATCAAGGAGCTGCTCAACCGGAGTTGAGAGATTAAGATTTCACATGAGTATTGTGAAGCGAATTTTGTGGCAGATCATCTGACTACATTTTTGTAGCGAGTGGTCCTGGAGGTTTGGTTCATCTGGCTGATCCTCCTAGTGGTGCGATTCCTTGGATTCAATATGACATTTTAGGTGTCTCTTATCCAAAGAGAGTGTTAACATCTTAATTTAGGCCTTGGCCTCTTTTCTCTGCACCAAAAAAAAAAAAAAAACAAGCCAGATTCACCAAGAAATGATAAACATTCTAATTTTCCTGTAATAAAAGTAAATGATTAAGGGCTTGTTTAGCCAACATTTTGTTTTAATTTTTGATTTGGGTACGAGATGTGATTTAAAATGTGATTTGATATAAAATTTAAAGAATTGTTTGGATAATATTTTAAATAAAATAATAATATTTTTAGACCATTACCGGACCACTTCCACCATCGGCGTCGCTGCCAGACCGCCCATTACTGCCGTCGGACCACCGTCAGCCGGCGACCGGCCGGCCGGCCTAATTCCGACCATATTTCGGTAAGTTGGCCGGAATCTGGTCGGCCGGCGGTGGTCTGGCGGCGGTAGTGGGCAGTCCGACAGTGGCGGGTGGTGGTGGGGGTGGACGAAAATTGTGTAAAAATAATTTTTGAAATATTTTTTAAAAAGTAAATTAAGAAGTTGTTTAGATAGTATTGAGATTTGTGTTTAGGAGCTGTTTTAAGAGGTAAAATGAGAGAAAATGGCAAAATAAAAGTTGTCCAAACAAGACCTAAGATGTGTTTCTTCCTCAGTCAATTTTTATTTTCAAAAAAACACTTTTGTAAAGAATTTTTTTTTAGATTACTATTTTCTTTGCAAACCTAATTTTTATTTTCAAAAAAACACTTTTGTAAAGAAAGAATTTTTTTTTAGATTACTATTTTCTTTGCAAACCTAATTTTTATTTTCAAAAAAACACTTTTGTAAAGAATTTTTTTTTAGATTACCATTTTCTTTGCAAACCTAAGTGCATTGCACGTAGATTAATCTGTATCGAGACGGGTTGGTCTTCCAACATTACTCTTTCCATTCACGAGACTGGAACACGAGACCTCGCTTAAGGAAACCAAAACACCTTACCACTTTGACTAAGCTGGTTTTAAAGAAATTATTTAACACACATATGTGAATATCAACAAGGCTTTATAATTTCGAAAAAAACTAAGCCCAATAGCCGAATCAAAAAAGTCCATTAAGGCTGGGATCCATTAGGGCTCTAGTTTGGGTGTGCCGATGGGCTTGTGGTGAGCTTCTCAGCCGCCCCTTATATAGCTCTCGCACTCAGTTAACAACACAGCACAGAAATTTTCATTCAGATTTCAGATCTTTCGCTTTTACCGATGGCGGTTTTCGGTTTCATTCTTCCAACATGATTCGGCATTTTTTTTTTCTGGATTATGTTTGTGATTTGGAAACGGAAAAAGGCAACAAATTAGAGTCGCTGGAACGCTGTCGATTTAGTAGCGTTTTACAGTGCTGTACGTTGCCGATAACAAGATTGGGTCATAGATTGGCATGACAACTTTTCATCTTTTTGATACCGGTTCTTGTGCCTCAGATGTCCCGACATCAATCTCGTCTCAATTTTATTTTTTGGGGTGTTTTTATTTTTTGTGTTGAAAATATTCGAACCTTTTTTCTAATCGATCTTTGAAACCTACCGTTCTTTTTTTCCGTCGTCAGCTTTGAATGAATGTTCTAGATTTTTCTTGCTGAAATTTGGTCATTTGTGTTTACTGTTAACTTGTTCGTGTTCAGTGTGCTTGTTCAGGGAATTGGGTATTTTGTACAAATGCTATAGCATAATCAATAATGATAGGTTTAAGAACTGTTTGTTTTTCTCTGTTTTAGTTGGGTAATAAATTGTTGCTTTTGAATACTGTATTGTTTTTTTGCTTATTCTCAAATTACCATATTCTGTGGAGTATGGAGAAATGTTTGCGTTTAATTTGTCTTGTGAATGGATCTTTTTAAGCAAAAACTATCCATCTTTTTTTTTTTTGTTTTTGGGTATGAATCAGGCAACAATTTAGAGTCGCTGTTACACTTCCTTAATAGTGTCATCAGTGCTGTACGTTGCCAAGAGCAACCTGAGACGGAGATTCTGGCATGGGCTCTTTGGTTTTTTCAGGCTTATGCATTCAGATGTTTCTACATAAACGAGCTCTCATTTGAAAGCTCTCCATAGGTAACTGTTTCCCTGATGTTCTTCTGATATTGCTTTGATTATAATATTCAAATGTAGCTATTTTGAAGTCTCTCTGTGGTCAATTAGCTATGATATATGAACTATTGTTTTTGGTCCTGGACTTATTTTAACTTATTACAACTTCAGTGTCTTTACCAATCTGTATCAAGTTCAAAATTACAGCAACTCTTGGTTGTTTAGTGCTTAACATTCCGAAAAGAAAAGTATTTTTAGCATCATTTCAAGGTTTATTTTGATGCACAATGATGTCGAATTTAGTGTTAAATTGTTGTTCACTGAGCAACTTGGCTCATTTGTGAGGATAGTGGGACTTCTTAAGATAAATGGAAAGGAGGTTGAAGGAATAAGTTACCAAGCAATGGGGAAGACTTTTGGATGCTATCCTTCATTGTGTAAGATAGTTTGAATTGCGTCACATTTGAGAGAGAATCGACGTGGTTTCCCCTCCACTCTTATTTGTCACATTGTCATTGCGAAACACTCAACTACACTCGATATTTCTCCGAGATGGTCAGTACTCAGCAAATTCTAATGTCCATGCTTAACACCTTCACATCTTATTGCTTACTTGGACAATTTTGTCGTTGGCATTTTTCTTAGAAAATTTGAAAATTTTGAATTTTCTTTCTCATGGCTCGACAAAATGTGTGGCAATTCTTCCAATGCGGCGGTTCCCATTTGATTGCGCTTTGTACTGGAAAGAGATGTTATGCAAGCTGGGATCATATCATCGTGCATTGAAAATTTTTTACCTCGTGCTCATGTTTTGAGCCCAAGATTGAGAGAACTTAAAATTTTTAAGGAAAAAAGGTAGGGATAAAATTGTCAAGCGGGTAATAGGTTTGATAGAGAAGCATTATTTTGCAAAACTCAAAATTTTTGAATGTCTTAAAACTAAGGTCTAAATATAAAGATCCAAATCTGTTAATAAATTATTTATTTTAGTGATGATGTACTTAACTTCTCTATTAAATATTATATAATAATTTTTTAATAATTTAAATATTATGAAATAATTTCTAAGTTTTATAAAGAAAGAAATGAAAATGGTGGGACCATTGTAAATAAATGAATGCCAAAATAGTAAAAAATATTTAACCACCAATTATTTTTCTGAATTGCTCTTCGTAGTTTATATTATTACTCAGTGATAATTTTTGTCCCAAACTCTTTTCTCTTTTCTTCCATTTCTTCCTCCTTCTCCAAACTTTCTTTCTTCTTCTTCTTCCTTTTTTTCAAATTTCAAAGTTAGATCTAGCACAAATCCTAGTCTAAAAAAAATGGCAGAACGCGACAAATAACTATGGAAAGGCTCACCCTCAATTTTGGTAAATTTTTTTTTCTCCCAAAAAGCGATTAAAAAAACAAAAGTTCTACAGGGTGGTTGGTAGTCGACCACTCTTCAAGGAGGGGCCAGTTCTTCTCTGGCCGGTAGAAATTTTTATTTTTTTTTTCAAACGTTTCTTAAAAAAAAAAAAACTTACCGGAGTTGAGGGCGAGCCTTCTGTGATTGTCTGTCTTATTCTGTCATTTTTTTAGATTTGTAATTGTGTTAAATATGATTTTAAAGTTTGAAAAAAAAGAACAAGAAAAAAGGAAAGTTGAAGAGAAGAAAAAAAGGAAAGAATCAGGGGTAAAAATGTCCAAATGAACTATCAGCAAGTAATGTGCACTGCAAAGTACAACTCTTTTTCTGACATTAATTGTGTAGAAGGAAATTTGAGGCTTGTTGTTTATTTTAGTTTCTCCACAAATGTCCAAGTTGAAGTGAAAATGGGCATTGAACGATTTAGAAATCCTTTTTACTTTGTTTAGTCCCTAAAGTAAAAGTTACACCATTTTCATTTCTTTCTTTCTTCTTAAATCTTGTAAGTTACTTTGTAGTATTTAAACTTTTGGAATGTTGTTACACTAGACTCTCTTGTAATAAATAAGTTAAATATATCATAACTAGAATAAATAATTTGAATAATTGTCTTTAGATTTTAGTTTTAAACTCTTAAATAAATACAATGATCCAAGTAAAAGTATTAATAAAATATTATTTTAGTGATGATGTATTTAACTTCTTTATTGCTAGAGACTTTAATATAATAACTTTCTAATAGTTTAATATTATGAAATAACTTACAATTTTTAAGAAGAAATAAAGAAATGAAATGTTGTAACTTACTTTAGGAACTAAAAGAAGTAGAGAGGAGAAGTAAAAGTACCACGTTTTCTCTCTCTTCTTTGCGTTCTGTACTGCTAACCTGCTCCTGGCCATGGCAAGAACTCTAAGGAAAGTGCAGAAGAAAGCTGATAATGGTGTGATTAAGGAGAAGGAAGTTATGACAAGCAAAGAAATTGAGGCGTCGATTGAGAATTGTCCATTGAAGGAAACAGATGTGGCGGAGAGGGCACCAGAGCGAAGCCCTAAATTGAGTCTGTTGAGTCCGGGTAAAGAAGAAACTACAGGAAGACTTATCTCATGGGCGGATGAGTCGGCGAAGATACCAGAAGAAAATCCTTGGAGAAAATTCAATGTTGATGCGATGAAGGGTAATGGAGTGAATCTGGAATTCATTCTGCCAAAGAAAGAGAGTGGCCGAAAATATGTAAGGTACAACCAAGCAAGGTTGACATCGAGGCTAAATACTGGGAGCCGTCGATTGTTTGCTTTGTGTTGGGATCAAATACACCATATGCTATCGTGAATAAGCATGTAAGGAACCTATGGGGGCATCTCGGAGTGGATGAGGTAATACTCTTATCTTCTGGATTATTTGTAGTACGCTTTGCTACTTTACATGCTCTTGATTTAGTGTTGAAATACAACTTGTACCATCTGGGAAGTAAACCCCTTGTGATTAAGCCATGGTCAATTGATAAGGGGATCAATTATAGGGAAATAAGTAAGGTTCCAGTGTGGATTCAGTTGAGAGGACAGAGGTGAAGTACCGGAATAATGATACTCTTAGTAGTATGGCTAGTACACTCGGAACTCCGATTAACATTGATGAAGCCACTGCTAATCGTGATCGTGTGCAATATGCCAGAATTATGGTAGAAACGGAAATACAAGATCAAGTTCCAGATGCTTGAAGATGAAAATAAGAATATCCAGGAGCAAAGGGTAACATATGAATGGAAACCTAATCCATTGCAAATGTTGTAATGGTTATGGGCACTCAGCTGAAATGTGTCGAAATAATCCATTGAAGCAACAGGCTCCAGCAACAGCTACTTGAAAGGTCATGTCACCTAAGGGGTTACCAAGGATATGGGCATTGTGGTAGGGAACCAAACTAAGCAGAAGATAGTAATGATTAAGAATAGATACAAACCTGTGGTTGTTGACACAATGAATGAGAGTGTGGCCCGTAAGCATAGAATATGGAATAGGATGTTTTCACAGGGGAGTACATCAGGTTGTAAGAAAGATGGGGAGATGATAAATGTGGAAGGTGATGCAAAAGTTCTTGACCCTGATCCAGGGATCAATGAGTAGATTATTAGTTGGCTAGACTCGTGTCTGTAAATAGAGTATCCTTAGCATGCATGGTGGAAGAATTGGCAAACATTGACCAGCTATGGCAATAATTATAAAGGGAGGATCAGCCTAATTTGGGATGATTCAATTCGGCTACAAGTAATTAGTATCAGTGATCAGAGGATACAGTGTATAATAAAGCTAAAGAGTGTGGACTTTCAGTTTTATTTTATAGGTATTTATGCCTCAAATAATTGGCAGGAGAGAAAAGATTTATGGGACGACCTGATGGATATTCAACAATCTATTAATTTACCATGGATTGTATCGGAGGATTTAACAATTTCTTGAATGCATAAGAGAAAGTAGGTGGTAAAACAGTAGTGCTGAATGAAATTGAGCATTTTTAAATGTGTGTGGATAAGTGCGAGCTGCAGGATATGAGGCAAGTGGGATCTCAGTTCACAATGTGCAATAAACAGTTGGGGACTGATAGAATCATTGTGAAACCGGATCGGGTTATGATTAATGCAAAATGAGTGGATCAACAAAATTCTTCTTTGGTGACTATATTGGAAGAAGGTGTGTCTGACCATACGCCAATGCTAATCAATGTTAGAGGTGAGATCATCAGCAAACCAAAAGCATTCAGATATTTTAACATGTGGAAGCTGGATCCTTCTTTCCAAGATGTAGTCGAATCCAGTTGGAAAGAGCCTGTTAGCGGAACAAAAATGTTTCAGTTAGCAGAGAAGCTCAGAAGATTAAAGAAACCTTTGAAGATTTTGAATAAGGGTAACCTGGCTGATATACAGATCAAGACACAAAAAGCTTGGGAAGCTGTAATTCGACTCCAAACAGAGTTGGTGACCAGTAAGATGATATTAGCCTACGGAAATAGGAAACGGAAGCGTATGGTCAATGGTTGACAGTGAATAAAGCCAATGAAATGTTTCTAAGGCAAAAGGCGAAGGAAGATTGGATCAAGGATAGGGATTCAAATACAGCTTTTCTTCATGCAAAGCTCCGACAGAAGATTATGAAGAATCGTATCTGGAGTTTTACTAATGATGAAGAGGAGATTCTTCGAGAATGGAGCAGCATTGAGAATCACTTTGTCCAATATTTTCAGGCTCTGCTTGGACAATCAATAGCCAGAGTTCCAGTGGATAAAGAAGTTTTCGAGCAAGGCAACAAGTTGAGTACACATGATCAATTGAGGATTATCAGACCAGTGACTAGGGAGGACATAAAAAAAGCATTGCGGGGAATTCACTCTAATAAAAGCCCAGGGCCTGACGGGTTTGGGAGCGATTTCTTCAAAGAAACATGGAGTAATACTGGGAAGGACCTCACAGATGCGGTGCTGGAATCCTTCGAAACAGGTCAGCTTCTTAAATAGCTGAACACTACTATAGTTGCTTTAATTTCGTAAGTAGTAATATGTCTTTCCAAATAATAAGATATATTTTCTATGTAGTATGTTTTCTTTGAAAATAACAATATTACAAAATAATGAGCTATATTTCCAAGTAGTAGTGTACCTTCTTTTCAAAAGGATAATATAAATGGTTCTTGATAGTTTATTCTCTTTTCAAAATAATGTTTCACATATTTTTTTTAATTATTAGTACATTTTCTTAAGTAGTGATATATTGTTTTAAGATGCCCATATATTGTTTTGAAAGAGTTTGTTCCATCGGTTATAGGAGATGAAAGCTTTAAGATGTTTAAGTTTAAGGATGGTTGCTTACTCGCATCCAAACCAGACTTGTGAGAACTGGGGCTTAAAATTTTTCAGAATTGCTAAATGCTGCAATTAAGGTTGAGACTAATATGAAAAGAAGAGACAATGATTTTGGGAAGCGAAAGAGGAAGTTTGAGAAATCTTTCAAGCCTGCTGATAGGAAGAAGAGATCGGAAGGATCCAAGAAAGGGCGTCTAGACCCTCAGTGGGTTCCTTGTCAAAAATGTAACAAGATGCATAAAGGTAAATGCATGTAAGGCAGGTGTTTTACATGGGGAAAAGGCGGACATATGTCAAGGGAATGTCCAAGCAAAGAGCTGAGGGAGATAAGATTTCAACTAAAGACGAGGAACCTAAAGCCAAGGCAAATGCAAGGGGGTTCGCATTAACCAAAGCGGAGGCAGAGACATCAAGTGATGTGGTGACAGGTACCGTACTAGTACACTCTATGCATGGATATGTATTGTTTGATTGTGGTGCATCTTATTCATTTGTCTCTAACAAGTTTGCTAAGTGTGTTAATAGGCGACCCTAAACTATGAAAAATGCCTTAAGAGTTTCTACACCTGGAGGAGAAATACTAACCTCTACCCTAACACATGAGAAATGCCCTATAAACATTAATGGAATAAGTCTTGAAGGCAACTTAGTGCAGCTCACAATGCATGACTTTGATGTAATTCTTGGAATGGATTGGTTGTCAAAATACCATGCTAAGATAGATTGTAAGCAACGGAAGATAGAATTTTCTGACCCTAGGGTAGGGGAATGTGAGTTCCTAGGGATGTGAAGTACGTAACCCGAGAGTTCCAATAATCTCAGCAATGAGAGCAAGTAAGATGTTACATAAGGGATATGAAGGATATTTGGTGAGTGTGATTGAGAAGCCAAAAAGCAAAACTGAAATAAAAGACATCCCGATAGTTCAAGAATTCGAAGACGTCTTCCCTGAAATAATACTTGGAATACCTCCTGAAAGAGAAATAGATTTTGAAATCCTTCTACTACTCGATGCTCAACCTATATCAAAAGCACCCTACCAAATGGCCCCACTAGAACTGCAAGAACTAAAGAAACAAATCCAGGAGCTACTAGAGCTAAAGTTCATTTGGCCTAGTGTATCACCATGGGGAGCACCAGTGTTGTTTGTTAAGAAGAAAGATGGGAGTCTAAGGATGTGTATTGACTATCGAGAAATCAACAAGATCACCATCAAGAACAAGTACCCCCTTCCAAGAATAGATGACCTCTTTGATCACCTAGGGAATGCAAAAGTCTTCTCCAAAATAGATTTGAGGTTTGGCTATCACCAGCTACTGATTAAGACAGAAGATATACCCAAGAGTGCCTTCCGCACTAGGTATGGTAACTATGAGTTTGTGGTGATGCCTTTTGGATTAACCAATGCACCAGCTGCCTTTATGGACTTAATGCATCGAGTAATGAGAGATTATTTAGATAGGTTTGTGGTAGTTTTCATTGATGATATCCTCATATATTCCCCTGATAAAGAGTCCCCTGAAGAACATTTAAGACAAGTCCTGGAAACCTTGAGAAAGGAAAAGTTTATGCTAAATTAGCAAGTGCAAATTTTGGTTAAGCAGCATAAGTTTCCTCGGACACATAATCTCTGGGGAAGGTGTGTCTGCCGACCTCGCTAAGATAGTGCCAATCACAAATTGGCCTCGACCTAGCAATGCAACTGAAGTGCGAAGCTTTCTTGGACTTGCTGGGTATTATCGAAAGTTTGTGGAGAACTTGTCAAAGATGGTCGTACCTCTTACCAAGTTGACTCAGAAGAGAGCAAAATTTGAATGGACCCCTGCTTGTGAGGAGAGTTTCCAAGAATTAAAGAATCGGCTATTGTCAGCTGCTATACTAACGTTGTTCAATGAAGAAAGGGATACACAATATACATTGATGCCTCCAAGAATAGATTAGGATGTGTGTTGATGCAGAATGAGAGAGTCATAGCATATGCCTTAAGACAGCTAAAATCTTATGACCAGAACTATCCCACCCATGACTTAGAATTAGCTGCAGTGGTCTTTGCACTAAAGATTTGGAGACACTATCTCTATGGAGTCTTTTGTGAAGTATACACTGACCACAAGAGTTTGAAGTATCTTTTCACTCGAGAAGAACTAAACATGAGGCAGAGAAGGTGGCTAGAATTGATTAAGGACTATGATCTCGATATAAAGTACCACCCTGGAAAGGCCAATAAAGTAGCTGATGCTTTGAGCCAGAAAGGAACAGGAAATCTAGCTCTAATGCTAGTCAAGCAAATGGAAGAATTACGACTTGAGCAAGTAGAATCAATGGAAGGAGTCTTGGCTCCTTTAACCTTACAACCGACCTTGTTAGAAAAGATTAAGGAAAGGCAAGGTGATGATGCCTTCATACTGGAGTTGAAGGAAAAGGTGAAGGAAGGAAAGCTACCAGGGTTCGAAGTAATGAGAAATGATAAACTATGGAAAGGTAGACGTATATGTGTGCCAAAAGACTTGGAATTGATAAATGAGATTTTGAAGGAGGCAGATAGTACAAAACTTTCCATCCACCCAGGAGCAAATAAAATGTATAAGGACTTGAAGGAGTTGTATTTGTGGAGGGGAATAAAGCAGGATGTAGCCAAGTATGTTTGCTAAGTGCCAAACCTGTCAACAAGTGAAGGCGGAACATCGAAGGCCAGAAGGTTTATTACAACCACTAGAAATACCCGTATGGAAATGGGAAAACATAACAATGGACTTCGTGGTAGGATTGCCAAGTACTAAGAATGGCTATGATGCAATATGGGTAATAGTGGATCGGTTAACCAAATCTGCATATTTTCTCCCAATTCGTTTTGGGATATCTAGGGATAAATTAGTGAAGTTGTATATCAAGGAGATTGTTAGATTACATGGTGTACCAGTTAGTATTGTCTTTGATCAAGACCCAAGGTTCACTTCTAAATTTTGGAAGGAGTCCCAAAGGGAACTTGAAACAAAAGTTAATCTTAGCACTGCTTATCATCCTCAAACTGATGGCCAAAGTGAGAGGACTATCCAAACCCTTGAAGATATGATGAGAGCATGTGCCATGGAGTTCAAAGGAAGTTGGGATGAATACGTAGCACTAATAGAATTCTCCTACAACAATAGCTATCATAGTGGCATCGGAATGGCACCATATGAAGCTTTGTATGGTCGAAAGTGTAGATCGCCACTATATTGGGATGAAGTTGGAGTAAAGTATATCATAAGACCAGAGTTGTTGCAGGTAG